CTTCAAGAACCAGGTAAATTCCATCATTTCTTAACTAATAACGCAGACTTGTTTGCCTTTTCCCATGCAGACATGCCAGGTATCCTGAAGGAGATAGCGACACATAAGTTGAACGTCGATCCATTTTACCCCCGGTAAGGCAAGTTAGGCAGAAGTTCAACTCCGCAATAAATGATGCAGTCCGCGAGGAGGTTGAAAAACTACTGGAAAACGGCTCCATCAGGGAATAAAATACACCCAATAGGTCGCCAACGTGGTCATAGTGAAAAAGAAGAACGAAAAAATGGCAGATGTGTGTATACTTCACAGATTTGAACAAATCATGCCCGAAAGACTCATTCCCACTACCCCATATCGATCAGCTCATTGACGCAACAGCTGGCCACGAACTGCTGAGCTTCTTAGACGCATACTCGGGCTATAACTAGATCCTCATGGAGGAGGAGGACCAGGAGAAAACCACCTTCATCACCCATCAAGGAACATATTGCTACAGGGTGATGCCTTCCGGACTGAAAAATATGGGGGCGACATATCAAAGGTTGGTGACAAGAATGTTGAAAGACCAACTCGGCAAAACCATGCAGGTCTACATAGATAATACGTTGGTCATGTCCAAAAGGAAAGAAGATCACATCAACCACCTGAAAGAAGCCTTTGATATACTCAAGCGATATAGAATGAAACCGAATCCTGAAAAATGCGCATTCAGCGTGACCTCAGGGAAATTCCTAGGCTTCCTAGTATCACAACGAGACATCAAGATAAACCCCGACAAAATCAAAGCTATAGAGGGGATATCATAGAACTTAACCAAAAAAACGGTTCTGTGACTGATCGGTCGTATAACCGCCCTGCAAGATTCATCTCGCGGTCATCCCATAGATTCCATAAATTTTTTGGCGTACTCTAGAAAGACAACAGCCTCCAATGGACCTCCGAGTGCGTCGATGCCCTGAAGGAGTTAAAAGCTTACCTATCATCACCACTACTTCCCAAAGCGGATCCCGAAGAGTGCCTCCTCTTCTACCTAGCCGTATCCGAAGTGGAGGTAAGGTAAACCCTCGTTTTTAAAGAAGATACTACCAGCCCCAACTTTCTCACCTGCGGTCACTTGACCGCTTCTGCGGTCTATCCCTCAGCTGCCCACTTCCGCTTCTGCGGCGAGATGACCGCATCTGTGGTCTCAGCACTTCCCCACCAAACCGCATATGTGCCCTTTTGGCCGCTTCTGCGGCTTCGCACCTGCGGCCAAAACCTCGCAGGTGCGGTTACACCAGATGTCAGCAGGCTTAGAAATCTTCATAAGGACGAATTCAACCCGTTAACAACCCGAGGCCCCCGGGACCCCGTCCAATCACACCGACTAGTTCCAAAACATAATCGGACCTACTCAAGGCTTCAAATTACATCAAACAACGCTAAAACCATGGATCACACTACAATTCAAGCTTAATGAACTTTAGAACTTCAAACTTCTACATTCGATGCCGAAACCAATCAAATCACGTCCGATTAATCTCAAATTTTGCACACAAGTCACACTTGACTTTACGGACCTACCCCAACTTCTGGAATAGGAATCCGATCCCGATATCAAAAAGTCGACTTCCGGTCAAACTTCTCAAAAACCTTCAAATTTCTAACTTTCGCCAAACGATTCCAAAATGAACTACGGACCTCCTAATCCACTTTCAGACGTGCTCTTAATACCAGAATCACCATACGGAGCTATTCTCAGACTCAAAATTCCAAACGGACATCAATAACATTGAAATTCACTTCAACCCAAATTTATGAAATTCTTCCAAAATGCTAACTTCCACAATAGGCGCTGAAACGTCCTCGGGTCATCCAAAACCCGATCTGAACATATGCCCAAGTCCAAAATCATTGTACGAACCTGTTGGAACCTTCAAATCCCGATTCCGAGGTCGTTTACTTTAGAATCCAATCTTAGTCAATTCTTCCAACTTAAAGTTTTCGAAATGAGAATTTTATTTCCAATTCAACTCCGAAGTTCCCAAAATTCAATCCCGACCACGCGTACAAGTCATAATACTTGAAGTGAAGCTGCTCGTGGCCTCAAACCGCCGAACGATGCGTTAGAGCTCAAAACAACAGGTCGGGTCGTTACACGAAATTCCAAACGGACACTGATAACATTGAAATGTACTTCAACCCAAATTTATGAAATCCTTCCAAAATGCCAACTTTCCATAATAGGAGCCGAAACATTCCCGGGTCATCCAAAACCGGGTCCGGAAGTACACCCAAGTCTAAAATCATCATTCGATCCTGTTGGAACCTTCAAATCCCGATTCCGAGGTCGTTAACTCAAAAGTCAAACATTAGTCGATTCCTCCAACTTTAAGCTTCCGAAATTAGAATTTTCTTTCCAAATCAACTCCGAATTTTCCAAAATTTGAAGTACAGTTCATAATACCTGAAGTAAAGCTACTCAAAGTCTCAAACCGCCGAACGACGCGCTAGAGCTCGAAATAACCGGCTGGGTCTTTACATAACCATTTTTGTTGGTTTATGTATGAAGATGATATAAGAACAGAAGAACCGTGAGTAGCAGAAGTCACCAAAACCAGCGAAAATAGAGGCACGAGATAAAGAATAACAGGAGTAGAAATCCTGAATGGAGAAGAAAGAAGAAGATACAAATTCTCAAGGTTAGGGAAAACAAAGAGTGAGGTCAAGGGTTCATTTCTCTATTTGTAACAATCAGGGCATCAGTACCGAGGAAACAAATCGTCAAAGCCCAACACAAATATCGAAATGACAGAGGCACGGTAAATGATGCAACGCATCGGGAAAACATGTAATAATGACGCATGACGTCATGACGTCACTCCGAATTAATGTAACCATAGGTTATGGCTCACACAGCGTAACATAGCCACCTCGATCGGAACAATGCTGCTCGAACTAGCCGCCTAAATATCTCGACCACAACTAACATAGTCCGCTCATCAAGGTCGTCTAGGGTCGACCTCAATAAGCGGAGGGACTAACTGTATGGGTCTAAATTTGCCTTCAAGAAATTTAAAATGAAGTGGCATTACGAAAAGTAATATGGCCGAGATCGAGACCTAAACAGTGGGGGTTATAGTCGAGCTGTCGATAATGGCCGAGGTCAAGCATCAAAGGCGGCAGTAGCGACTAGTTTTGTAGTAGGATCTTTAGAAGAATATTCCAGTGAATATTTTTTGTATTTGTACTTTTAGGGTTGACTGGGGGTATGTCCCATATAAATAGAAAGAGAGATAAGGTAAAAGACATGTAATATTCTCTGATAAGAACACTCTTGAAAAGCAGACTATCTCTAGATAAATACAAACAACACCTTTCTAGAGATATTCGTTTTGGTTGATTGTTCTACTTTTCCCATAAGATCCGAGAAAGTCTCCAATATTCTTGTGTCTGTCATTCATCATTGTCAGAAGGAAGAATCATCCACCTCATTCAATATTGGGTGAATTATTCTACTTATTTACTATAATGCCACTTATTATTATTTAAATAGACGTTGCATTTATTCTCTCCCAACACTGTTCAACATCATCCACCTAGACTGATTATAGATCTGAAGTTATTATTATTAACTAGGTTTAATCTCTCATTATATAAAATTAATTAGTTCAACCAAAGGATTATATTTTTTGTTCAAACAGAAGTGTCATATGTTGAAGGATTTACTATTCACTTTTAGTATTATTTTAATCTATAGAAGTGTCATACTAGTTATATAATTTTTGTGAGAAAATAAAGTTATATGACTTTGGTGAAAAAATTCATATATAGTTATATGATCATTTGTAATATTTACCCCCTAACAGGGTGGGGCGGGATAAGAAAAACAAAATTTAACTCATTGTTTATTACTCTAATTACGTAATTATCTAAGTTGTTTACATATAGAAAGATAACATTTATTTTGAATTCATAACGTTAAATTCTGCATTCGCCACATCAATAAATTTGTAAGAGAACGAAAAACCTAAAACAAAGAGATGCAAAAGGAGAAGGGGTAAAAAAGTTCCTAATCAAACCAGTAAACTAAACATTGAAACTGTGAGAAAAATCACGAAAGAGAGAAATCGTAAATATTAAAGATTTTTTCTCATTTGTAACTTTTTTTGTTGAATACAACATCGAGTAGACATATAAAACAAGACAAAAAGTCATTGCAACCATAAGTAAAATAGAACAATGTGAAAACCTTCCCTATCAATGATCTACTTCAGAAAATAACTCCATACATCTTAACTCTTTTAGCAAACACCATGGATGATTCTCAGCAACAACTACACCAGACCACTACGCCTACAAAACCCCCAGATATTGGATCTATGCAAATAGATGATACAAATATGCTTACACAACCTCCAACTTTCTTACAAACTCTACTAACTGATAAATATCTTATGCCAGCCCCAACCACGCAAATACCCTCCTTAACCACTATAGATCTAACAGATGAAGTTCTTCACAACCCTACTTACGATGATACTTTTATACCAATTACATCGACTGATAAAACACGATTATACGAACCATGGAAATACTCTATCATCGTTAAGATCTTTGGCAAAAGGATTACGCATCAAATCATGCATGATAAGTTGATGTCCTTATGGAAACCTACAGAGGCTCTCCCCCTCATTGATTTGGGTTCTGATTTCTTTCTCATTAAATTCCAAAGAGAAGAAAATATGCATAAGGCCTTGCACGGAGGACCATGGTTTATTCTAAGTCACTTCCTAACTGTCAGAGGATGGGAACCTAAGTTCAAAGCCTCCTCTACATAGCTTACATACTCAGCTCTATAGGTCAGGTTGCCTGAATTGCCTACAGAGTTTTATGACTTGGAAATACTCGGCAGGATTGGTTCTAAACTAGGGCAACTGCTGAAAATAGATATATGTACATCATCAACTACACGAGGACGATATGCTCGTATCTGTATTGAAGTGCCTTTGGAGAAGCCATTAAAAACTCATCTATATATAGGAAACCATAGGCAATCCCTTCTATATGAAGGATTAAATCTTTTATGTACCAACTGTGGGAGATTTGGACACCCTGCCAATAATTGCCCTGAAAGTATTAGTGTCCCAAAAGATCAAAATGAGGAAAACAAACAGCTACAATCTACTACCTCTACTAATAACATATCTTTGAAGAACAATGAATGGAAACGGTAATCTTTCCTAAGAAAAACTTTCATCTACCTAAACAACTCCCTCTTGGCAAGGAGCAGGCAACTACAATGGCAGTTTCACCAGTGACACAGACATCACCAAGTAATTTCTCTAACCCTACTCAGGCTGCAATGGGCCGAGTCTCCCCCACTAGGCCTGTTAAGATACATGAGCCCACTATAGAATCTAAAAATAAATTTCAGTTGCTCTCTATAGTTAGGCATATAGATTTTCAATCTAGCCAATCCATCCAAAGCCCAATAACTAATAATAATAGTAATAAACTACTACAAGCCCAAGACCTTGCTAATAACCACTTACTGGATGCTGATAAGCTGCCGCCCGTTATAACCAATCGTCTTTCCCTTAACCCTAAGCCTACATTACTAAAAGATCACTCCTTAATCTTAGTTGATTATCACATGTCTCATCAGGATTGCATGACACCTATTCTACCCTTGCCATGTAACCAGCCATACACTTCTATAAGCCAATCAGCATTAACCAAGTCAGAAGGATCTCTAGAAAATTCGGTCACGTTGAATCCGTCTCAACCTAAAGGAGTAAAAACCTTGCATGCTATAGTAAATACAGTTACTTCTGATGATAGGTTTCCTCAAAACCTATGTAAACCGCATGATGATCTTTCATGTGAATATCATAATGACAAACCCATTATCTTATCTCCTTCACTCACTAATATTTATCCTTCACTAATTCAAACACCCACGCCTAGTACGATTATTCCCTCTTAAGCAAAGCAACTACCATACTATATTTTTAATGTAGAGACCAACATTCATAAGTATGACTCGGAGTCAGTTTCTGAGGGAAAATTTATAGACCAACAACCAATTTTTCCATCTTCTTCGTCTCACAATGGTAGGTCCTCAGCTGCCTAAGAGTACATCACCTATGATATACACGTCCCAGATAATGACCACAGACCTTCCTCTCCAATCTTGGCTGGAAATGGGATTGCAGGGATATGCTCTAGTATTTACACTGCAACTCAACAACCAAGAGGTGGTGCTGCTCATACAAAACCCAACACATATAGCAGAAATAGTGACAGAAGGGATGAGGTTGGGAATGGAAGCCTACAACCAGAATCAATGGCACACGACCCAAACCCCTCTTCCAATGAAGCACCAGGCTTCCATCTCCACTCATCAACCTTGGCCATATCAGTTCACCTAGATGAATATAACCTGGGATCACACAGTAAGTCTACTACCTTTTTATCCACCCCATCATATGGGTCTGGTCTATGCTCCTTGGTTTCAAGCTCTAGACTCCTTCAATCCACTCTCCCCTTATTCAAGTCTACTAAATCCACTAGAGAGTCTAACACCACCAACCAGTCCAGTGCACTCACCTCCTCCATCTCCACAAGAACTAGACAGAGATACAAGAGAGGAACTGATAGCCATACTTGCGGAGATGAGAGAAACACGAACGGGATTTTGGTGGTTAAAAGGGATCCAGTTTTACAACCTCAAAGAACAATTTGAAAAAAAATTCATTCTAAAGTGTCCTCCGGAACTGAAAACATGCAGCCTCAATTCCGTCAGACCACCAATCCGGAGGTTGAAAAATATGCCATGGTCATCATTCCAACGCTTCTTTAACTTCCACTGAGTCTAGATTCGATGACACCCTCAGTTGTCAATCCACTGACTCAAGCTCCTACGAACCAACCCAGGAACCCTAATTCTTACATGAATTTCTTAGTTTGGAACTGTATGGGCTCCCATAATCAAGAGTTTAGGAGACACTTTAGGTCTCTATTAGATAATCATAAGCCCACTCTTGCTATCTTACTGGAAACACACATGCAAGATCATACACGCTTGCGTGAGGATTTCAATTTCACAAATATGGCTCAAGCTTCTGCAAATGGACTCATTGGGGGTTTGGTGGTGCTTTGGAATGCTGATCTTATTAATGTCACTGAAATGAGAATTTCTGAACAGGAAATACATTGCCTAATCCAGGTTAGTCCTACAAAACCCTTCTGGCTATTATCTGCTATTTACGCTAGTCGACACTACCAATTACGTGATATGCTTTGGAACAGTTTAATTAATTTGCATATTAACAATGATTTGTCATGGCTAATAGGGGGGGATTTTAATGAAATTCTAGAATCTAGGGATAACTTTGGGGGTCTACCCATTAACAATAATAGGGCTGATAAATTTGCTAACTTCATGCATAGTTGTAACCTTGTGGATTTAAGTTTTCAGGGTAGTCGTTTTACTTGGACTAATAAACAAAGAAATGGGCATACCATATTAGAAAGACTAGATTGTTTTTTGGCTAATTATGATTTGTTAAGTTTATTTCCAAACTCTAATGTGACACATCTTCCTCGTACACTCTGATCATTGTCCTTTACTAATTAATTTAGAACCTCCTCAACCATTCCACAAAAAGATATTTAGATTTGAGACTATGTGGGCTTCTCATCCTCAATTTCAACAATTGGTTCATGCAACATGGTCGAATGATTCACCTTTATTAACTACTACTGAAAATTTTAAGAGGGTNTTAGAAATATTTCACAATCAGTGGATTATCTAAAATGACAACCAATTCGACTATCTAACAAAGGCCCACTACTATCTCATCTTTTCTTCGCAGACGATATTATACTATTTTCAAAAATAACTACTAAAAGCTGTCATGCGATCATTGATGTGTTAAATAACTTTTCAGAATACTCAGGGCAAAGAATTAATTTTGATAAATCAAAAATTTTCTTCTCCAAAAATTGTGGTCCTACTGAAAAGGATTTTGTTATCAATTCATTTAGTATGAAAGAAGGCACCTCTTTTGGCAAATATTTGGGATCCTCATATTCCAAGCAAAACCTAAAAATGCTGATTTTCTGTTCCTACTTTATAATTTTAAGAATAAATTAGCAGGATGGAAGTCTAAATTCCTAACACTAGCAGGAAGAGCTACCTTAATAAAATCTACATTAAACCAACTACCTAATCATTTAATGCAATATATACACATTCCATCCCATATTCTACACAAGTTAGATCGGTATCAACGAAATTCTAATGGGGCACTACATTAGAAAAAAAGAAACTACATCTTGTCAAATGGAATGATATTACTAGGCCANCGGACCAGATGGATTACATCCATTTTTCTACCAAAAATACTGGAAGGATGTAGGTGTTAGAGTAACCACTTTTTGTTATAATGTATTTAATTCTAAAACTGTGCCACTTGAGCTTAATAAGATTCTCCTTTGCCTTATCCCTAAGGTAAAACATCCTACAAGAATACAACAATTTAGGCTAATTAGCCTTTGCAATACTGTTTATAAGCTAATTACGAAGATAATAGTCAATAGGCTTAAACAATTCATNATTGATATCTATGTCAGCTAGGTATAAAATGGAATATAGGAAGAGTCACTCACATTAAACTTTGGGATGACCAATGGATTGCACCTGGTACGACTATCAGATCAGTTATTTATGGTCCCTTACGCTTAGAGCATCAAAATATGACTATTTCTTCCTTTATGGATAACGAAAGATAGTATAAACTGCCATTTGAGATGCCCAATAACATTAGCCAACTACTTCAATCTACTTATATCTCAAAATACAGTAATAAAGTTGATAGTATTTGCCGGGGTTTAACTCCTACGGGCCTTTTCAGTACTAAGTCTATGTATGGTATATTAGATGTACTTA